TCTCCCACCTCCAACCTCGAATCTCAATCTGTTGATCGCATTTCTAACCGACAACTCTCATTTTTTCTTCCAATAGGAGTTAAAGGGATTCACATAAAACCCACACACAACACCACTGATACTGCTATTGGAATCATCGGCTATCGAGTGAAAACAAATCGTCGTAGTTGTGTTCATCGGTGTTCATTATCTCTCCTTATATCACCTCCATGTGCCTAATGCTTCGATCGTCTGCGTATCTCATGAATTTTGCAGTAAGAATCACAATTTCAGGTAATTTTTTTAATCCTCTTTCATTCTTTCTATGTTATGTGGTTGGTGCTTAGAAGCCCTAAATCCATCTATTCTCTCTTATCTCCATGAAATCAAATCAATGATTTGACTTGTCGCAGGAACAAAGGGGAAGTAGAAAACACCGACTCCACCTCTACCTTGATGAACTTCTTCATTTGAGCCCTAAATAAATTCCAACCACACTTACAATCGGTGGACATAGGATTAATGAGACCATGAGAAGAATAGAGGTAATTCAAAGTTAAAGTTTTACCTTAATTAGTGAAACTAACAATATTCTAAATATGATGTTCTTTGTTCGAAAATAAAAGTATTGGTTTGATTGTTTGTACGAATACGGTTTCGTGTTACTATGTTAAAACTATGTCGTGTTTCAATTTAGGGTTCATAAAGTCTTACCGTATACTCTATTGCAATAATAGATTTCAGATATGTATCAAATTTAGATGTAATATTTTCCTTTCAATATAGTGCTTTGCATCTTGGGGCATCTTTCTGATTTTTGAATTTGCTTTCCCGATTTGTATGCTTTTTACATGCCTCCTCTCACTCAAACATGTACTTTGTGTATGTTTATGTGTTAATATGTTTATCTTTATGCTTGCGTTTATTTATGCCAGTTCATGAATTAATATTGATTGGAAATTAGGCTGTTTTATACTTCAATTCCACAATCAACATGAAAATGCCGTAGTACCTTTGAGAATCTTTAATAGGTCTTCTTTTTAAATGATTCACTGTATTTATCTATCCAGTTTCTTTGTCAAAATTTATATCCTTCTTTTTTTTTTTACATAATTGCAGGTTGGGGTGTTTGTAAGATAGTAATGTAGTGTTTTCTCATTTTAATACTATTCAGAGTATTGTTATGCAGAGGTGTAAATTGATCTTTTACAAATACACGTCTCTTAAAGTCCATGAAATTGGACCTTGATTATATATTTGAAAAGCTGAGGTTGGTTTACAAGTTACAAAAACTTGCAATCTTTCTAATTGTAGCATTTAACCCTAAATCAATAATTTATTTTTCTTTCAGGAGTATACAACAAAGATTACAACCTTATGTCCGTATTTCTTTTTGTTTTTTCTAGTGTCATAAAATTTGATAATCTATATGGGTTGTTTGTTTACTATTGATATCGTTGCTAACTTATTATGGTTACCATCTAACATATTATGGTTACCATCTAACAGGGGTTGGGGAAAGTGATTTCTGTAATTGCTGTTATTCTTAAGCAAAGTTCTCATCTATCTTTTATAGCAAGCAACAATCTTTAAACCTTAAAGAAGTCATCCATGTTTTAAAAAGATGTCATCCACATTGCTGAAAAGGTGAGTGTTGATATATTTTTGTTTCTTCACCAATCTGGTCAAGGAATTCAATTTTTTTTTCATAGTTATGAGCTTCTTACTTCTTTTATTTTAATTTTCCATCATATGAAAAGCTTTCAGACATCTGGCAGGAAGTTGACAAATTGAATATGTTTCACCCCTATGCATGCCTGTGGTAGTTCGATCATTGGTTCTTTTTTTTTTTTTTGTCTAAAGAACTTAAGAAAATACCACAATTAATGTATGGTCTTATAAGGAGGAAAAACACTAACCGAGAGTAAGTTCTTCTTTGAACATTTCATTCAAAATCTAGAATCAAGTATAATGGGTTAGTGTTTGTTTCTCGCTCTTGAATAACCTCTCAATATCGATATCAAGGTACTTTTAGTTGCTTCACTTTTTGTTCTAATTTACTTCCACAATTTCATTTGAGTATGCAAATCTACATTTATATTTTTTTATCTTATTTGATTGTATTCCTAAACCATATGTTTGTATATGTGATGTTGCCTTTAAAATATGCAGCATGAATGTGAGGTGGGACATAATTTGGAGTTGCTCCAGTTGTGCCCATACAACAAAAGAAGTAGGATATTTGTTCTACTAGGAATCTATAAATACTTGAAATTGTTTCAAGATCATGAGTTATTTACCCTTTTGGCATTAATCTAACAACTAAATGTAATGTTTCGTGCATCAAATCTTTAATCTTTTCACCTACATACCAGTGAGGACTGTTATGATAAGGGACCAGAGGAGGGGACCTTGACATCTTCTTAAATGGTAAACACCTCTAATCCAATTACCATGAGGATTCATGTTCTATTTATGTATAAACTAATTCCAAATTGTTGGCTGCAATGCATCTATTGAGACCATACATTAAACTCATTTTTTGTGACAATCATAAAATATTAGAGATGTATGGTGGGATAGAGTACATAGAAGATTTAAATAAGTTCAAATCAAACTTTTAATTTTTCTGAATTCATTTGCATATAGAAATAGATGAGAAGAAGAATTAGCATTTACATAGGATTTAAATGAGTTCTTAAACTTTGAGCTATTTTTTATAAATTAAAGTGGTTCGCTATTTTGATTATTTTTAATAGAGCATTCGGTTTAAAGGGGAAGGAAGAAACAACTACAAACTTTTCTTTTTGTACCAAAAGTAACAAAAAAAAATATCAATAAATATGTGCAGGTTTTTAGGAGGTCATTGTTTTTTGTGGTACTCAAAACGTGATTCATTTTCATATTTTAAATCTCTTGCTGGTCAAAAACTAGAGATATAATGAGATTTCGTATAAGAGATTTGAATGTTAATCAAGTTGTTTATAAATTTGATTTTGCATGTTGTATGGTACCATTTTTAAAGTGTATCTATGGTTGTTCGTGTATTTGTAAAGAATATTCAGTTTTGATGATTAGGGAACCATGTAAACGGATTTTCAATTATGTAATATATCTATAAAAATCTATGTAAGTGTTAAAATTAAATTTATTGCATTTTTATATATTTCAACAAAAATTATAAATGAAAATTGGATATTGTTGAATATTTTTATCCTTATGAATTTGTTTTGGAGCCTCTTTCTGCTATGGAACAAATGACTACATAATTTGCCACGGAACAAATTGTTATATAATTTGCTACGGAAAAAATGGCTACGGAATTTGTAATGAAACAAATGACTATGAAATTTACTATGGAATTTGTTCCAGAACAAATAGCTACGGAATTTGTTATAGAACAGATAGCTACGAAATTTGTTACGAAACAAATGTTTACAAAATTTGTTACAAAACGAATGACTACAGAACTTATTACAGAACAAATGGCTATAGAATTTGCTACACACCCCGTTGTAGAATTATTATGGAAGTGTGTTGTAGTTAAATTGCTGCGGAATAAATGTCATAGTAAAATTGTTACGGAACTATAATTTTGTAACTAAACAGTTTGTTACAAGAAATATACCTACAAAATCTCATTGATAAATTCCAGCCGTAACAACTTCTGTAGTTATTCAAGTTTAGCTACAAAATTTTAACTTTAAACTACATAATTATTTCGTAGTTATATCAGAATTTTCATGTAGTAAAACAAAAAAGTTGACAATTATAAAGCCTTTTTTTTGGGATAATGACTTGAAAGGGTAACGAACTTTCGACTTTTGTCACATTTAGTCACTAAACTTTTTTTCGTTATCTATTTGCCATTGAACTATTGAAACTGTTCAGATTTTACCCTTATGACCGGCTGTTGCCGGTCATAAGGGTAAAATGTGAACAGTTTCAATAGTTCAATGGCAAGTAGATAACGAAAAAAAGTTTAGTGACTAAATGTGATAAAAGAAAAGTTTGTTTCCCTCTAAAAAGTTCAATGACTAAATGTAAACAAACTTCCTCTTGTATTATGTTTTAGCAAATTATTTATTTTTGTTAAATTGTAGCAACATTTGTTGGTGAAGAAATCTATGAAATAATAAAAAAAAACCCTAAAAATATATTTAAAAAAACAAAAAAACCGAAACCAAAATACAAAACCAATGGTTTGACATTTTCCAAAATAAAAAATAAAAATTTCCAATCTAATTTTGGTTTTACAAAAAAAAATGAACCATTCTCACTGATGTGAATTATGACCATTGGTTTGGCATGCGAAATTTGTGACATCCCATGAATATGTAGTTACAACATCGTCTGAACTCGTAATTCATAGTAAGGGGTTAGAGTATCATCGCATGAATACGTAGTTACAACATTGCCTGAACTCGTAATTCATCACCTACAGGTTATGGGCCTGCTGGTGTTTCCACTGTGTTGTCTAGAGTAGTCTGTGGTCGCCATCTATACTCTGGTAGATGACTACATCGCCACATTGATGGTTAAGGTTATGGTATCTCCTTTCATCCTACATCACATATTCATCATCATCTATATACCTAATTATCATCACATTTCTATCATCACATATCTCTTATCATTTTATTTCATCACACACCAACTATTTCATCTACCCATGTTTCATCCGCAACATATTTGTAGATATAAAATAAATATACCGTTTAAATCTTTTAAAACATGTATAAAATCGTTCATCCAACATAGACACCAAGTATTCAAATAATATGCACACATAGCACGTAATTTATATAAAATACTTCATATCTATGTGTAAGATGAAAGTAACCATATCTACCATAAAAATCCCATAAATGCTTCCTAACTTCGAACCCCAAGGTTTACTCTACTAAAGCTTCATATTCTCGGCTCTCTGAACCTAGAAGGATCCAGATCCATCACACCAAAAAGCTCAAGATAACTCTTCCTCTCACTCTACACACTCAAGCTCGCTAGGGTTCTCACTTATGGGAAAGGTAGTGGTAATTGAAGGCCATAAGTGCCTTTAAATATGGCTCGGGCCCAAAGATTTAGGGTTTCTGCCAACAACGCAGACTCGTCGAGTCGCCTCACTGACTTGTCGAGTCCATTCATTAATCCGAGTCATCAGTCGCGACCTTACTCGATGAGTTGAGGCGTCAAGTCGTCGAGTCTCTCTTCTTAACTCAAAAGAAAAATACTTAAATTATGATACCTGGAAATCCAGATGTTGCATTTTGTTTTTTTATTTCATAGATTTCTTCATCAACAAATGTTGCTACAATTAAACAAAAATAAATAATTTTGCTAAAACATAATACAATAGGAAGTTTGTTCACATTTAGTCATTGAACTTTTTAGAGGGAAACAAACTTTCGATTTTGTTCACATTTAGTCACTAAACTTTTTTTCGTTATTTATTTGCCACTAAACTATTGAAACTGTTCACATTTTACCCTTATGACCGGTAACAAACCGGTCATAAGGGTAAAATGTGAACAGTTTCAATAGTTTAATGGCAAATAGATAACAAAAAAAAAGTTTAGTGACTAAATGTGATAAAAGTCGAAAGTTCGTTACCTTTTCAAGTCATTATCCCCTTTTTTTTTGGGAAAAAGAAATATCATATTTTATTTATTTAAATAGAACTTATCAATTATTGGAAAGATTACAAATAGGTGAAAACAAAACACTGGAAAAATTTAACTTTTTTTTAAATGAAAAAAACTTATCTTTAAAAGGGAAAAAACGAAAATATAAAGTGATTTCTTTTATAACTATACTTATGATGTACGCCTGATGTCATTGTCCATCCATCTTCCACTCTCCGTTCGTCTCCGTTCACCATAGATTCTGATCTTCTACTGGTATTGCTTCGTTCTTTGCAATTTTAATCACTTCCTTACAATAACTTATTCTTCTGCTGATGTTAAGGGTTCGATGTGAATGAATCGAAATACAAGAGCAGATTTCATTGAGATATGTTGTAAGATTCTCCGTACGATATCTTTTTGCTCTCACGTTTTCTGTTCATCTTGTTCGTCTTTTGACCTAATTTCCCCAATTTCGGGTTTATATGATTATGTTCGCAGTAAATGATGTTAATAAAAGTTTTTCCTACTTTTAGGGTGCTCTACATTCGAGCGTTAAGAAATTGCTTCAGCTCCATTACGTTTTGAATCTCGAACCACCATGTTTGTTCTTATTTCTCTTGCTTCTGTAGTCAGATTCAGTTTTTTCTGCTTCTCTTCCAAGACTTCTTTACCTAAACTCAGTTAAATCTGATTCTGATTCTGCTATTTTCTTAGTGAAAATGTCTACACCAATGCATGATTTTCGCCAGATGGATCCATCACCAAGAACTGGGAATCTTCAAACACAGAAACAATCAGCCAACACTACGGAAAAAGAACAGTTGGATCCTCAAGAAGATGCTGCATTCTGGCCACTATCAGGGAAACCATATTTCTATGTGGTTCTTGGTAAACTAATCCATGGAAGGAGGTTTCAACTGGTAATTATCGACTTCCATATTGCACATTTTATGTATATCCCTCTTTTACCACTCGAATCTTATCTTCCAAAGTCTACTGTAGTCCATCCCACGTGAACTATCGGAAAAGCTTCCAACTTCTACTGTTCCTGCTAATATCGTGTACAATGGAAAGGTGTGGGACCTACTTTACCATGGTGATCAGACTAAAAAAAGGTTTGGAAACGAAACATGGGGAAAATTTGTTACAGATAACAAGCTTGTAGCTGGGGATGCATGTGTGTTTGAGTTGATGGTGGGGAGCTTAAAGAGTAGGATTGTTAAGTTCAAAGTTCAGATCCTTAGAAGTGGTTTCCCATCTGAATTGTTGGAGAAAGCTGAAGGGTTTAATATGAACAATCCCATTGCTATCGATTAGGGTTCTTGATCTTAGTTTTTGTTGTTTTGAATCTTGAATAGTTATGGTGTTCATATGTGTTTTGGTCATCTAGTTTTAATGAAAATTTCGATGCTTTTCTTGAAGAAATTGTTTCTGTTTTTGTGTAAACACACTAAAATGCATGTCAAATGTCAAACAAAGTACAAAATGGGCCTAAAGGAGCACCTTTTGTCTTGACTTTAACTTCAAACCACAAAGTGAATGTTTGAAGAACAAACACAAACATTAAAACTCCAAATCATTAATTAACTAAAATCAAGAAATTCTCAAGGATAACAAATCGTCTCCTCAAGAACCCCAATTTTCCTTTTATAATGACTTTCATAAGCCGGTTTCGTTCTTAAAAAGAGCAAAAAACTAGAACTCACACCAATTATAGAAATCAAACCCCATAACATAAATGTCTCATGATAACAATCCCGACCAATACATACCTTCATTCCATCATCAAGATCCTTATCTCTTGCGTTATCGATATTATCAACATAAATTAGAGCCGCAAGAACACCATACAATAATGATCCCAATGGGATATTAGTTATGAGAATGTTATGATTTATCCCCGAGCTTTTTGAACCAAAAAGCTCAGATGTGATTGATACAGCGGTTGAAATCAAGAATCCTGAACAGATACCGATAAGCCCTGTGGCAACGCTCAAAACCAACTTGGCACCTGAGAGAATGAGTAGAAGAAAAGCAACCGGCATTGCCACAAGTCCAAGTGTTAGCCTCCCAGTCCGAGTAGCATACATGTCCGCAGCTGAAAGAATGATATGATAAACAAGTTTAATTTAGGATGTATTTTCTTTTATTTGCATTAAAAACTTTTTTTTCCTTATCGAGAGTCGAGACATTGTACTTTGAGAAATCTTCTCAATTATAGCAATGTATTTTCGAGTTTTTTTTTCTTTGTTAGGATTGTATTTCGAAAAAACTATTCAAAATAATAGCCAGGGCGGACATGATTTCATAGTAAGGGTTTCATAGAAAATTTTAGTAGTGTCACGGTAGTAGAAAAAAAAATCAAAAATTTTCAAAAGCTTTTGCACTGCGTCTCGAAAAACCAGACGTTGTTGGTGCCATTACGGACATCATAGTAAAACCGCCAATGACAACAACATTGTCCTTTCAACTATTATTATTATTAGGACATTGTACTTTGAAATAAAATGATTTTGTATTTAGATGACATATCTATAATTTGGTAGATTTTTCAAACTAAAATCATATAATAACATAATTGAAAGTAGGATTCCACAATAAACAATTAAATGAAATTATGTTGCTATTTCTGCATTCAACACTTTAGTTTATTGAGTTTTTGTGTCCCTATTTTAATGTTTCGTAACGTTTTAATGCTCGACTTAAATGCTGTTTAGACATGAGCATTAAGTCAATGTAAGATGATCATTTTGCCCCCTTCCCATCTTCTCATCCTCCTTTGTTTGAGGGCAAAATGGTCTTTCTACTGAAGGCCCGGGTAAAAATGCCTTAACAATGCACCTACAAACTTTATATCAGCCACTACAAGTAATATAAGGATGCTACATGTTTATTTATTCACAATTTATGCAGATGTGTATATATGTAAGAATCAATGAAACGGTTGCCTACAAACTTAACCTAAATGCAAAAAGATCAATAGACTTTCCTTTATTTCTTTAGTGGAATCATACTGTTAAATTCTTTCACTTGCAACGTATTTTCACGTTTTTTTATTCAAACATCGTACTTTAAAAAAATTGATGCAATAATACAATTGCAATTTCAATTTCTTCTTATTAGGACCCAATTATAGCAATGAAAATTCGTTTGTATGTGGATACCATTGCTATAATTGGTATTGTATTCAAAATACAATGTTGTATAATAAAGAAATAAAAATGGGATGCGATAATAAGCAAACCAGAAAGCTCGCTACTATTTCTTACACAAAAGCCTTGGAATTGTAGAATCAACGAAATAATAGTAGTGAGCAGCATACTTACTGATAGTAGGTTGTTGGTAAAAGCAGCCAAACATGTCCATAGCTGCCGAAAGAAGCCGACCAAAAAACGAGCACGTAGAATAAATCGTAACAAGTGCTTTAGTCTCCGAAATGTACCCAAGCGATTCAACAATTTGCCCTAAATTATTACTATAAACTAATCCAATAGTACCTCCGCAAAAATATGTAACATAATAAAGCCAAAAATCGCATCGACTCATCATATATGTAGCCGAATGTTCCTCACCAAGCTCCCGTAATCTATCTATCTTGATCATTCTATCAAAAACCGAGCAACAACTTTTATTCAATACCGGAGTTGAACATTCTTCATGGAATTCTTCTAGATGATTCATTTCAACCAACTCATAATCTGGCCTTTCAATAGGTCCATCGGGATAAAAAGCCCGATGTGCACGTTTAATTAGGTAAATAACTTTTGGCATGATAAACGGAAGCACTATTAACAACATTGTGACTATGACTATATTTTGTGATACGGGGTTTGTAAAGAAAAGATAAAGGCCCGTAACGGCGGCTAGTATATACAAAAATATAAATATATGTGCGTCATCTTTTAGGGCGATTTCGTCTTTTTGGTTGTTGTCTTGTTGGGAAGTGGATTGTTGGAGTATTGGGCCGAGTGAGGCAATAGATGTGATGAAAGGGACAAAAGCATTTAGGACGAGGTAAGAGGTGGTTTTGTCATTAGGGCTTAGTTTAGTGACGATGAGGTTGTATAATGCTGCAGTTACACCATTGAAACTAACGCTTAGAGATACTGCGAGTGGCCAGTTTTCGGGAAAGTTTTTAATGTTTAGAACGAAGCACACAGTGTTGAACCATGGGATGCTACCTCCGGCCGATAAGGATAGAACGAATACCTGTTGAGGATAAAGATTGTATTAGGGTTTTAGGGATATATAAAAACCAAATTATGATTATCGAAGGTAAAATAAGTTGTAGTGCATTTGATATGTATTGTACTGAGACTGATAGATTGATTAGATATAAATTGTCATTTTTTGTACCATCCATACGAATGGAAAAAGATGGGACTCAAAAACAATCTTGACCTTGAATAAAAAAGATGTGGATGTCTTCTCATAATCATCATAGAAACAACTCTAGAAACTCAACACATGTACATAATAATAATAATAATAAGTTATATTGCGTTTGATATGTACTAAATTTGACATGTACTAGATTGGGTATTTGACTAAATTTAACACGTACTAGATAGGGTAAGCGACTAATGTCTTTTTATATGGTCCCTCCAAGTGAGTTACGTATATGGAACAAACACAAACACACAAGCCAAGTTGCTTTTGTCGCACATGACAAAATAAGATTTGTAGGGTTAGGGCGTTGATCAAAGTTTATAGGGTTAGGGCTTGTTAATCAAGGTATTTACAAAGATAACATTAAGACTTTAAGAGCGAGTCACTATCCATGTTTTTAGGTGCATGGGACAATAAGTTGTCCCTTTTTATCTTTACTACATCACAATCTAAGTACATTACATGTTTTTTTTCCGATGGGCATTGCGTAGGAACCCTTATATGCATTCAAATCAGCAATAAAGGCCCCAAAATTAAATTGGGTACATAATTGTGTACCAACTTAAATATATGTGTATATGTTTGTACATTTATGCTCACTCACATCTAATTCTACCTACCATTCCTGATTTAACTTTAATTTGGAGCCAATGAATAATCACCCAAGAACCCTAAACTAAAATTGGGAGGGATAAATTAAAAAGAGTAAATGCATTAACAAATTGGAATGAAATTACGAACCATGATATACGGCAAAGTGATTTGTTTCTGAATGACAAGCCATTGAAGACCATAACCAAACAAACCAAGGAAAGAAGCCATGAAAAGCACAACCCATGTCGGAAAATACAACAGAAGAACACCGGAACACCACCCAAATAACTTTCCGATATCGGAAGCCATTGCTAAGTAATTGAGCTGCACCTGATTGATTTCCAGTATTGATTTCATTTGGGTGGAATAAGAAGGGAAATCAAAATTCGTACCCGTAAAAGCCTGTATCCATATCGCCGCCGCCAGTACCATCCATTTCCGGCATCCTGAGGATACCATTCTAATCCGATTCTCCGGCAACGTCTCCGATAACAAATAAACCGAGGAGAGAGATGATCTGAAAGAAATGTCTCCAACCGATTTTTATATTATTTTAATGATTTGCATGGGTTATATGGCGGGGATTGTGTAATAGCTTTTGACCACTTTTAGTCCTCCATCCTTTTGAAAATTACAATACATTCCCTATTATACACATGGGTGAAGTTTAATTGGGCAGTATTTTTAAGCCGAGACATCTCTTTGGAAATGAGAGTTATCAACTTATCATGATACCCACTTGGGATTTTAAACCAACTTGGGCCAAAAAAACAATTTGTGCCGAAAAGATGGTTAAATTGAGACCTTCATGGTCCTTGTAGATTGGACCAAAATTTTCACTTGGGTCATTCTCACTTTGGTCAATTTGATCCATTTGATTGTTAGGGTTTTTTTTAGTCGCCAAGGATCATAATTTCCAAAAATAAAAATAAAAACATAGCACATTCTAAGCATACAACTTTAATGACAAAATTAGAAAGAACCAACCATCAAAATCAACAAAAAAATTTGTTTTAAATCTAGTCATGAACTACACATTGTAAAACGTATTAATGAAAACATTAATTTTTAATGTATGGAAAAACCAATTATATTAATAATTAACTAAATGTAAGAACATTTAATCCATCAAAAGTGTGAAAATAATCATGTTGTGTTTTGACCATTACTAAGATAAAGAACATTTTAGTAAACAATCAAAAACCAAGATAATTTTGTGTTTTACGCTTCTAAAAGTGTCGAATATCTTTGTTTATATATATATATATATATATATATATATATATATATATATATATATATATATATATATATATATATATATATATATATATATTTATATATATATATATATATATATATATATATATATATGTTCAGGTTCATTTGAGATCGTTCTAATTTTATGAGACCGTGAGACTAAATTCAAAAATAATTTTAAA